GACTGGGCCATGCTCAGACAGTCTCCGGCGGTTCTCCTCACGGCCGTTGCCCTTCTGTGAGACGCTGACCCCTCCCGTGCTTTGCAGCTCCGTGGTCTCCAAGAAGGGATACCTGCACTTCAAGGAGCCACTCTCCAGCACGTGGGCGAAGCATTTCGTGGTGGTCCGCCGCCCTTACGTCTTCATCTACAACAGTGACAAGGACCCTGTGGAGCGGGGCATCATCAACCTGTCCACGGCGCAGGTGGAATTCAGCGAGGACCAGCAGGCCGTGCTGAAGGTCAGTCCTGCCGCCCGTGGCGTGTTGGAGTCCGTGTGTGTGGTGGGCTGGACGTGCTTTCTGTGTGGTCCTCTGCCTTCAGCGGGAAGTGCCGTGCGCTGCCCCGTCGTGACTCGTCCCGCCTGGATCTCTTCCAGATGCCTAACACCTTCGCTGTGTGCACAAAGCACCGCGGGGTCCTTCTGCAGGCCCTCAATGACAAAGACATGAACGACTGGTTGTATGCCTTTAACCCACTCCTCGCTGGCACAATAAGGTAAGACGCTGGCGTGTGTTTACTTTCTCTCCTTGGCACTTGGTGCCAACATCAACATACAGAGGAAAAGAAGCATTGTTCTAAGCAGATTAAAATCGAGGCAGGGAGGGCCTCCCTGGTGGCACAAGGGGTAAAGTCTCAGCGGCTGCAGCATGAGTTTGATCCCCGGCCAGGGAGTGACCCCCAGGGCACATCAGACCGCTCCTGTCTCCCCACTGTTCCCCCCAGCAGTGTACTTCGTTGATCCGCCTGCTCTGCTCCCCGCTGTGTCTCTGGGGAGTCCTCTCACCCCTCCCATCTCTGGCCTGTATTCTCAGTTCTTGCGTGCAGGCATAAATAAATCTTTAAAAATTAAATCAAGGCAGTGTGGGGTGCAAGTGGGTTAGGGTGGTGAGGGCTCAGCTTCTCATGCGGTGGCGTCTGAGGTTCAGCAGCTGCAGAGATGGTGATCGCGTCGGCCGCCAGTCCATCTCCTGCTTTGACTCTGTCCTTGCGGGGTCGTGGCTGGGACCCTTGGACTGAGTGACGGGGAGACTGAGACCCTCCCACATTTCGCCCTCGTCTGTACGGGGCTTCTGTTCCCATGTCCCGAGGAGGGGGAAGCCACGCCCAGCTGCCTGGGAGGGAGGACCCCCCGGCCCCACCTTCTGACCCTGCCTCCCTGCCTGTCCCCGCAGGTCAAAGCTCTCCCGCAGATGCCCGAGCCAGCCGAAGTACTAGCCACTGCTGAGCGCCCTCACTCGCCTGCCGAGAGATAAAGAAAGTGTTACCTCTCACTTCTCCTTGTGATTCTTGACGGTCACTCTTGTGCGAGACCCTGTGGCTTCCCCTCTCGCCCCCTTGTCCAGCACTTTTCTAGCTCCTGTCCCCTCCTCCATTGCTCTGTACTTTTCTCCTGTGCTGAAAATCCTGTTACTAGCATGTGACCTAACAGGGGTGGGTGGGGGGGACAAAGAAACACAAAGGCTCAGGGGGACCCAGTGAATCTCCACTTATTTTGGGGTGTATTCTTGGCTTCCTTTTATATGATAGGTCCCCAATATGACCACCCTGGTGTCTGTACTGCTGTGTTTGGGTGCTTTGTCTTTTTCAGGACAGCGTAATACTTCTTTTCATTTCACCATTTGTAGAATCACTTTAATTGTTCTTGGGTGGCTAGAGACTAAGGGAAGAGACGTCTGGCTTGTTTGGAACCTGAGAGGAAAAGCATACCTATACCCCTTCTGTCTCTCTAGCCAGGGCTAATCCCTGTGATCTTTATGCAGGGAAAGGTGGGTGTAGAAAGGGAAAGGGTAGATTCTTTGAAACTGAGGCTTATTAGGAACATGGTTATATTATATAACTTCCACCTAGAAAAGGCTGTTGGTGGTCTGGGACTGGCTGCAGCTGGCCTGGGAGAGGGCAGGGAGGGCTTATTGCCTGTGGATTTCCGGGGACTCTCGGGCTTGGCAGTGGCCACGAAGGCCTGTGGCTCCCCACGGGCTCTGCCCTGAGCCACGCCTCAGTGCTGTGACTGGCACCCCTGGCGCTGCCCCTGGAAAGCGGCATGGTGTCATGCGTGGGTATCCCGCCAGGGGGCGCCTTTCACCTTCTGGTGCCGGACTGAGCACTGGCTGCTGAGAGGTGCCCTGCTGTGCCTCAGTCACTGTGCCCCAAAAGACGAAGCTTTCAAGTGTGAACCCGGAAGCCCCTCTGAGTCCAGTGTCATTTTCATGATGTCAGATGAAGCTTGTTTCCTGTGCCCAAATACGCGCACCCCCAGGCTTCTCTTTCCAGACCCCAGGATTTGGACCCCCCTCACCTCTAGAAACACAGGACCCCCGAGGGCAGTGATGCATCCCCAGCCCTGGCGCCCCCCGCAGCAGCCTCCTTCCCGCCTCGCCTACACCACCCGGTGTGGGACTCCGCGGGGAGCGGGAGGAGCCCCAGTGGGCAGCCTGCTCCCCTGGCAGACCGGTCCCCGCGCCACGGAAGACACTTCTCGTCCAGTCGTCGAAGGGCTTTACAGGCGTGGCCTGGAGAGAGGCGGCTCCCGGTCGCCCCGCGCTGCGGTGGCTGCGCCACCCTTGACCTCTCTGCCCCACTGTGTCCTGGGGGAGCCGAGGTCCTTGGCCTGCGGTTGCTGGCGCTCAGGTGCTGGGGGACTGGACGGCCTTCGCTCAGACACCGGAGGCCAAGGGCTCTGGCCTGTCCGCAGAGCAGCTGCGGGCAGGCTGTGCGGACCCGACCTCGGTTCCGATTTCCTGGTGGGACTCGCTGCCCAGCTCGCCTTAGAATGCCTCCAGAGAGGGGAGACGTGTCGCGGAGAGTCTGCAGGGGCAAGACAGAGAGCGCAGCCGACCTCCTCCAAAAAGTGGTCAGTGACACTCGGTCGCGGACTCTTAAAACGTTCTCCCTCGCCTCAAAACATAGGTCACTAACTGTAATGCTGTTTCTTTCTGAGTGGCATGTGAGGTTTCCCGTAGTTAGCGGTTTCTTCGTTGTCTGATGGATACAGTGGGCCCGTCTGGGGTACGCTCAGACCTAGGCCTCAGAGGTGGCCTCCCAGGCCGGACTGAAATCTGATTTCAGGGAAATGAAGATGAAATGTGAAGGTTACTTTTAAAACGGATTCGCAGCTGCCCCTGCCGCTGTTGCCAAGTCTGTGGGAAGACACCCAGGCCCGCGCCGGGCGGGGAGGCGCTGAGACGACTTTGTGTTTCTTCTAACTCTAACAACTGGCTTGGAAAGTCTTTGCTTTGGAGGCGTAGACACCAGGGCAGGCTGGACGGTGCCGTGGCGCGCCCAGGCGAGCAGGCCGGCGAGGAAGGCCACGCCGCCACTCGGGCCGGCCGCCGGCGAGCCGTGCCGCAGAGGGACCCCGTCCCCAGGTCGGGGCCGGAACAGCCCCAGGCTTGCCAGGCCTTTTCCCCCAGCCACCCCCGGTCCTCGCCCAGGCCGCTGCGGGGCAGGAACCACCTTGAGGCTTTCGCGGAAGTCAGAATGGCGAGAAAGTTGAAGAACTGGACCTTTAAGAAAACCACCTCTTCAGGATGGTTGATTTGTTTTTTTCCTAAAACGCTTCTTTACACAAACTGTAAGTAAAGGGGGAAAAAAGGAAACTCAAACACAAATTAGAGTGAGCTAAATGGGAATTTAAGCCGCCCGCCCCCCCCCCCCGGTCCTGCCCAGGCAGAACGCGCCCTCAGCCCACAGCCGCCCGCCCGTCTCCGCGCCTGCTGGGAGCCAGTCAACTCCCAGGCGGGCTGTGGGGGTCAGCCAGCCCCACACACAGCGGGACGCAGGCATGGGCAGTTTGGGGGCAGCTGGGTGGGCACGCAGATTCCAACACATGGCTAACGTGTGGTGAAGGCGGAGAATACACTCCTCTCTGCTGCATATCTTTCCTTCGGCCACGTGGAGTTCACTCAGCCGGGCATCTTCCCCGTGGACACCCCCAGCTCCGTTAGGATGAAGGAATGGGTATAAATTAAGTCATGGTGGAAGTCTTTTGGGATCTAGAAATCAGATGGCTGCTTCTGGCGCATACTTCAAAGCAAAGACTTTGTTGCCTGCTGCTTGTTTACTAATTTACAGGGATATTTAATTTTGTCAGGTATATGTATATTTCTATACAGCTGTAATTAATTGCACAACGACTGGCAAAGAAAGGCTGGCCTGGCGCATGGCCGGCGCGGGGACCTCGGGCCCCGCGTGCCCCGCCATGGGCTGCGCTTCTCTGCAGTTTCAGGGCTTGTTGGTTTGTTCGTTCGACTTGAGTCTTCATTTCCTTCCGGCTCCCTTTTTAAAATGGGATCGTTAACCTTCTCCTTACAAGGAAAACACTAACCCGGCTGCTGCGCTCGCAGGGTCCGCTGCTGGCCGGGGCTGGAGTTGCGCCCCAGCTGCGCCCGCCCGCCCGCCCGCCCGCCCGCCCGCCCGCCCGCCCGCCCGGCGTGGCCACGCTCAGCGGGCGCCAGCGGGTGCGTCCTCGGTCAGTCAGTTGAACTCTCTGCTGAGAGATTGTCTGCTGTTGTTCGAAAGGCCATTTATGAATTCGTAGTTGAGTCCCATAAAATCTTTGGAAAGCCTCCAACTGCTTAAAGGGAGAAATCCGAAGGATGCAGATTTCCTGTTGCGCGCTCACGCCGATGGCCGGCCGTGGGCTCGCGCAGTGAAAGGGAGCTGAGGGTGGTCTCTGGCAGGCCCTGGCTGTCGTGTGTCACGTCGTGTCTCCGGTGTGTGTCTCCCGCTCGCGTCTGCCCCAGCCCCAGGTCGCCATCAGCCCCCCGTCCGAGGCACCGCCCTCGACGTCAGGCCGCAGAGCTCTTGTCCATTAAGATTTCAGGTCTCCCGTCCACTTCCTTGCGCGCCAACGAAACCCATGAAGCATAAGTGGCCTTTCTGAACTAAGACTTTGCAAACTGATCTCTCCCCAGTGAAGGAGTTGAACACATTAGCAACAATGTACATTATTAATTTCAGATTTTCATTTTCATGTTTTATTATGTAAATATTATCTGATGTTTGGAGCTTGAGTATACAGAATGTAAATATAGTTCTTGTATTTGTACTAATTCTGGTTCTTTTGCTGTATAGCCTTAGATGTGCAATGCAAACATTATCTAATACTGTGTGGTAACCTTGCATCACGGAACTCTTAGTGAACGAGGTAATAATAAAGGTACAACGGTGCATCCCAAGGCTCTCCTCGTGCGTTTGTTGCTCACCCTTCCGAGGCATTTACACAGACATTGCTTCACTTTGCAGAGAGACTTCCTCTCTGGAAGTCCCATACCGTGGCTGCCTGCTCCTCTCAGTTGTATGTAACCAGGGGCACCACGTGGCGCCCTCTCTGAGGGACTTTCCTCACACGTGTGGCAGTGGCTGTTCAACTGAGAGACCTGTCAGGTGGCCCGGCCCGGCACGGGGCCTGGGGGCGCGAGGAGGGAAGAGAAGTCCCATCAGGCAAACAGTGCCGGGCCACTCAGCACGGACGTGCTGCCCGTGGCCGCCGGGCCGGGGACTCAGTGCAGGAGGACACGGGCACACGTCACAGACACCTGCTGTCCAGGGGAAGTGTCGGGGAGATAAAGCTGAGTAGAAACCAGGGCAGGACTGACAGGAGGAGCGCCTTCCAGATGCCACCGACCTGAGAGCACGCGCCTCACTCGGCCTCTCCACCTCTCCAGCAGGGCTGAAGCCTGAGGCCGCAGAGGCCCCAGGAGGGCCCAGCCTACGGGGGCGGGAGCCATCAGCCGGATCTGGTGTCAGACAGGTGCCACGCGCTGGGGCCGAGGGCTGGGCGGACGCCGCTGCCGAGAAGCAGGAAGCCAGGCCAGGGCGTTGAGGCCTCACGTGCTCTCGCTTTTTGAAATCAGTGGTGGGTGAGGGGAGAAGGATAAAATAGGGACTGTTTCCCCGCGTCCCAGAGAACACGGTGGCTTGGACGGGGCCGAGGCCCGGAGCTGGGGGGGGTTTGGGGGGGGGACAGGCCAGTGCCTGAGCTGACAAGCACTGAGCGGGGGGGGGGGTCACGGACTGGGGGGGGTCAGGGCCCGGGGGGCAGGGGCCTGGGGCTTAGACCTGCCTCTGCCTTGGTCGCCGTCTCTTGAGCTGTCAGAGATAGCACATGGCGAGGCAAGTGGATATTCCAGTCCAGGTCATGGGGACTTCACGTGGACGAGGAGGGGACTGGCACAGGCCCTGGGGGGAGAGCGGATGGGGTGGGGGGGTAAGGGGGGCCCTGGGGGAGCTCTGCAAGATGAGGTCAGGCGTGCAGCAGGGCCCACGTGCCAGGACGCGAGTGCGGGCCGCATGTGTGCTCGGAGGGCGCAGAGTGAGAGCAGTGGGCACGCAGCAGAGGGCAGCGGAGGGCTGAGCCCACCCCTTCGCCCAATTTCAGAGCCTGCTGAGGTATGGTCAGGCCATGGGGTGAGGCCTCCCCTTTATTACAGCCACAGTGGCTTCGCTTGCAGGCAAGTGGGTTTCCTGGCACCCCAGATCAGAGGCCCCTGTGCAGAGTCCCCTGGGCTCCCATTAAAAAGCAGGCTCTGAGGGGCTCTGAGCTGCACCTCTTTCTGTTTCTAACGAGCGCTGCCGGGAGGTGGCCCTGAAGAGCCGCAGTGCCGGGGGACAGCCGAGGGGAGGGGCTGCTCGGGCAGGTGTGGGCAGTGAGGCATTTGCCAGCTGGGCAAAGCCCACTGGGAGGGCCCAGCAGCGCCGTGGGGCGAGGACAGGTGGTGCTTTCAGAGGACGCTATGTGGAGGGGCAGGGCGAGGCCACAGCGCAGCTGGAAGGGTGAGCGACAGCCTTGAGTCGGCCAGCGGGACTGGGCAGCACGTAGGTACGTATGTGGAGAGGGGCCCCAGGCCCCAGGGCAGCACCTCCCGCTTGCCCCGCTTACCCGTGTGGGGTGCAGGCCAGGGCTGGGGCAAAGGCAGGCAGGCGCTAGGTGCAGGCTGGCCTCGAGGCCTCTTCTGCCGCTGAGGTTTTCTCCCAGGACGCCTCCTTCCTGCAAGCTAGGTCTGGGGGCACTTGTGCCAGGCCATGCCTTGCCGCGTGCCCGGGCTCCCCCTTCAGGCTGACCGTAAAGCTGCGGGTCAGCACACTGGGCCTGCTCCAGGGCACCCCCCGCCCGCTGCCTGGGAGGCCCCGGCCCAGGCCCAGGGGCGCTGCTTTAGTCTGATGCTCTTGTTATTCCTCTCCTGGCCGATGGGCAGCTTTCTCCACTTTCCCTCCAGGACTCAGCTTCAGCCCTTTTAGTTTCCCTGAGAACCTCACGAGCTCACAAAGCCAGCTTTTGTTCAAAACTGCTCTTTCCACGGGGCATGAGAACAAGGTCCCCGACAGGAACCAGGCAGCCAGAGGGGGGCAGGGCTCGGATGTCAAATCTGCCCCAACTAGCAAGTTCCACACCCTCTTATGTAAGCCAAAGGCCTCCGTGCAGGGCTCTCCTGGTGGGTGCAGGCCGGCGTTTTGGGATTGGGGGGTGCAGGCAAGGCAAAAGCTGAGACTGTCCTGTGAGCTGACTCTCTTAAGCATTATCAGCTGAACATTTGGGGATTTAAAAAAAGATCAAAGGTCAGCGTGAAGCCTGAAGCAGCTCCGGGGGCCCAAGTTCTGCTTCTCTCTGGGAGGAACCTGCATCCCCTGTGTCCTCGGCCAGTTGCTGGCTTTTGCGAACAATCCTGGGGTTGCTGGCCTTGCTGACAACCCTGGGAGCTATTTTTTGGTTGTTAAGCCCCTTAAAGCAACGGGAGGGGTGCAGCATGGAGCACTAATTACAGAAGAGAATACAATGGGCCGTTTGATTCAATAGTTAAACAGTCACATAAAATGAAGCCCACAGAGCAGGGGCTGGGCGTGTCCAGATGTCTAGTCACCTTGACTCAGCACAACTTCTCCAAGGCCCAATCTCAGACCAGAGCAATCTATCCGCTCCTGCAACAGAACCAGATGGGCCGCTGGCCTGGCCAGGGCGCCCAGAAAGAGGAAATAGCTAGAGGAGGCCGGCTAGTGTCGGGTGTGCCTGTAATAAGCCCTGCAAAAGTTCTGTTCTCCGAGTCCAGTCACTGGTCATTGATTTTGCTTTAGCTTTCCGGTTAGAGTCAAGCCCACCCTGGAACGTACAGATGTGCCCAGTCTGCTGGGGGGCGGGGGTGTCCTTGCGCACAGCTGCCCTGCAGCCTCGCTCCCTGAGGCCATCGCCTGCCCTGAGCTCAGATTGTCACATTAGATAATATTAATAACTAGCGAATCCCAAGGGGCTGTCACAGACAGCAGCCCTGAGTGATCCTGTGGTAACTGCTGCCACGGCCTGCGGGCGGGTTAGCCCCGGGGATGGCGGAGTTTGGGGTGCCACCCCTTTGTCATTTACGAAGCTCCCGCAGGTTCTGCTTCCTTTGCTGTGGAGGCTGAGGCGCCCCAGCTGCGTACAGAGGCCCTAGCTGCAGGCAGAGCAGTGTGTAAGGACAGCCAGAGATGGTCCCCCTGGGGCGCAGGGGTTGAGGCTCAGCACTATGAAGCTGTCAGGCCCCTGCAGCACCAATTCAATCCCAGGTCAGAGGTGACCCCCTGGGCGCAGCAGACCTCTCCTCTCTCCCCGCTTCTCCCCTCATCAGTGTGTTTCAGTCAATCTGCCTGTTCTGCTCCCCACTCTGGTGAATCCTCTCACCCCCCCCCACCTCTGACCTGTCCCCCAGTTCTTGTATGCATAAACAAATAAATTTTGAAGAGAAATTAAAACACATCAAGGCCGTGGAAATTGACCGAAGGCGGAAGAATCAAGAAGCATTTCCTCTGGGGGCACTAGAGCCCTGAGAGCAGCAGGAGCCTGGAGCCTTCTTGCCTGGGACTGCTCCCCGCTGCCACACCCCATCTTCACCGCCTCTCTGTAGTTTTACCAGCTCATACCCAAAAAGAAGACAAACCAAAAGTTTTCGGGGAGGTGACCTGAAATGTTTCTTTAATCAGAGAGAAATGAATGGGGCACACCTGAGCTCACCAGCCTGGGGCCCGATGAGCAGGGCCGAGTAAGCCTCAGCGCCACCCCCAGCCCCCCACTCCACCCCCCCCACCCCCGTGCCTGGGATGCTGTGCACAGGTCAGGGGAGGCGTGGGGAGCCTGGTAGAAGGTAGCAGAGGTGGGTTGAGAACTGGGGGGCTATGAGTGCGGACACCACATTGCCCCAGTGGCCAGGCCTGTGTGGCCCCCCCCCCCCCCCCGCCGCCGGCTCAAGAGCAGAACCCTCAGGTCAGATGTCACGGGAAAGGCATTTAACTTTGTGCAACATGTGAAATGATGAAATAAAAAATCAGACAAACCCAAGTGAAAGAAGCGACTATAAAATACCTGGCCAGCCTTCCTCAAAACCGTTAAGGTCATTAAAGTCAAGCCGAGACCAAGAAACTGCCTCAGACCAGGAGAACTGAGGAGACTTCATGACTGTGGAATGTGGTCTGGAGAGGACCAGCACAGAAGAGTCACGTTCATGGAAAATTGGTCCTTGATGAGGTCTGGGGCTTAGTTAATGGTTATCAGTAGTTACCACTGTGGTTTCTTCACAGACAGATAAACATGGAATGTTAAAGATGTTGACAGCCTGGGAATTAGGTGAGGGCTTCCTAAGTTAGCTGTGATTTTCTATAAATACTTATTCTAACGTTTGCTAAAAATGAACAAGCAAAGGGCCCTCCCTGGTGGTGCAGCGTGTTATAGCACAGCACTAAGAAGCTAAAGCCACTTCTGCATGAGTTTGATCCCCGCCCCAGAGTGACCACATGGCGCGGCAGACCTCTCCTGACCGCCCGCTGCTCCCCTCAGCAGTGTACTTCGTCGGTCGGTCGGCCTGTTCTGCTCCCCACTCTGTCTCCGGTGAAGCATCTCACCACCCCCGCACTTCTGGCCTGTACCCCAATTCTGTTTGTGTGCATAAATAAATCTTAAAAAAAAAAAAAAAAAAAAAGAACAATCAGGGCCTCCCTGGTGACGCAGCAGTTAATGTCTCTGCACTACCAAGCCATCGCCAGCCACTATGGCCTGAGTTCGATCCCCCACCATGGAGGGACCCACAGCGCAGCAGACCACTCCTGTCTCCCTGCTGCTCCCTCAGCGGTGTGTTTCAGTCCATCTGCCTGTTCTGCTCCCCACTCTGTCTCTGGTGATTCCTCTCACTGCCCCTGCGCCTCTAGCTACACCCCAGTTCTTGAAAGCATAAATAAATAAAAATAAATATTTAAAACAAAGAAAAGATATGAACAGACATTTCACCAAAGATAGGTAAATGAAAAGCTGTTGAAAATGCTCAACATTATTAGTCAATAGAGAAATACAAATTAAAACCAGGCGAGACCCCCCTGTGCCCCCTTGGGTGGTTATAGTCACAGTATCAGGTACTGGGGGTTGCAGAACCTGGACCGTGCGCACGCGGGGAAGGTAACATGGTCTCTCCACTTACTGGGACAGAATGAGGCAAATGTTTTCCTGGTACTGTGAAAAGTTTTGTCTCCACTTGTCCCTGGAAGGGTCTTGGGGTCCTCCTGGGGCCCCAGGTCACCCTTGAGAGTTATTTCAAAAAGTGGCCAGCTCCCGTGAGGACCATCACAGTCACAAAGAAATCCAGCACCTGGACTGGGTCCTGCCTCTCTGGACCTGCAGCATCAGAGCACACACTGAACACGCCTCCCTGCACACCCAAGTTTGGGGACACTTGTGGGGACGCCAGGACCTCAGCCCACCTGCTTCATTCAGACGGAAGTTGCTGTTGGGCAGAGCTGGGACAAAGCTTCGCAGGCCCCTGCCGGGCTCTGGTTAACTGGGGTCACGTTCACCTTTCCCCTTCATGTTTTCCCCATGCAGGGAAGGTCTTAGGACAGCAGGCACCTGACATAGCTTTAAAGTCCATGCTGTGCTCCCTGGTGGCACAGGCGTTTAGTCTGTGAAGCTGTCTGCAGCCTCTGGAGCACAAGTTCAATCCCCCGCCAGGGAGTGACCCACAGGGTGTGGCAGACCTCTCCTGTCTCCCTGCTGCTCCCCTCAGCAGTGGATTTCAGTAGAGTGGCCTGTTCTGCTCCCCACTCTGTCTCTGGGGAGTCCTCTCACCCAACACCTCTGGCCTGCAACCCACCTCTTGTATGCATAAATAAATCTTTAAAAAAAAAAAATGTCCATGCTGGGCTTGCTTACAGCTAAGCATTTCCGCACCCAGTGAAAGGAAATGATGAAGGAAAGGACCAGGGTACAGGGACCTCTCTTCCCCTCAGGACCATTAACACCTGGGCCCCACGGCACCTCTGTGCAGTGAGTCAGCACCGCCAGGGCCACCACCCAGGTGTCTATAGGTGTGAAAGGTCTGGCTGTTCCACAACAGGGAAGTAAGTCAAGGGAAATGAGCAGTGGATAGAGTGCTTCTAGAAAGCCTCAAACGGAATAAACATTTACATACAAGACAATGAAATCACTTGAAAATAGTTGGATCACACTGAATTCTTGCATTCAGAAATACCGTTACCGCCATGGAACACTCAGCTTCCCACAGATGGAAACCTCCAGACTAGAACTGCACCAGAGTAACCCGCGCAGGAGAAAGGGGCCTGGCCTCCAGTCACAACTGGGCAGCGGGAGAGAGGACGCTGGAGAGCGGCACGTGGAGGTGGCCTTTGCCGCCCAGGCCCCTCCCCATCCCGGGCTCCCGCAGCTGTGCTGGAAGCAGAGCTACCCCTGGCCGGCGCCGGCCCCGCAGCCAGCGCCCTGGGCCTGCGCGAAGGGGGCCGGGCGCCCGCGGGGAAGTCCGAAGGACCCCGCCCCCCATAACCGACAGGACGACCCGAGACGGCCCCTTCGACCGCGGGCGGGCCGGAGCCCAGCCCGGGGAGCCCCAGGCCCCGCACCG